GTCGACGACAGTATCTCTACATCAAAGAGTACCTGGAAGTCTTGTACTTAGGGTGTGAAGATCTACCGGAAGATGCTAATAACTCCTCGGAGTCTTGGGAACAACTAGAGAGACATTTGGAAGAGCAAAGAAAATCATTCTTGTCAGGAAATGAAATATCGTTTGCCAGTCTCTATGACAATCACGATGCTAGAAGACAGCTTGAGAGAGATATCCAAGTTCACGTTCAGCGACTCTTGGATCAAGGCCTATTTCGTCCCATCACCGTAGAAATTCGACATTCGCCAGGCACAGGTGCCACCACCATTGCCCGTCGTGTTCTTTGGAATCTGCATTGTTCATACCCATGCCTGACAACTGATGTTGACTCTCATCGCTCTTCAGATGAAGACAACGACTTTGCAAGCAAGCTAGCAGAACGAATATCCTCGATAGAAGAAATTTGCAATACACCTCCACTGATTCTTATAGATGGAAAGCAATCAGGCTCCATAGAGGGCCTCTCGAACAAGCTCGCACGAATACTTCAAAGTAAAGGCAAAAGAGCCCTTTTATTACGGTGTATTCGAGGAATGAAAGAATCAAAGAAAACACAGGAGTCTTGCCATGTTCATAAAGTGTTTCATGTCAATGTTAAACTGGAGGAATCCGTCACTGACCTGCACGAATTCAAGTCCAAGTACAAGGAGTACCTAGATTCGGTAGATAAATCACTGAACAGTAGGCAGATTTTATCTGGCCTCTGTCGTGTTTTCCATTTTCCTCTCCTGGCCATGATGCAGGAATTCCGTCCTAAACTAGAGAAGATCATCGAAGACACCTTCAACGAACTTGGAGGAATTCAGCAAGAGATTGCCGCAGTGGTAGCCTTCTTACAAAAGTATGCTAATCTTCCAACTCCGGCCATTCTCCTACACGAAGCTTTTAAGCAGTACATTCGCCTAGAAGATAAGAACACTGCCACTTATGATGATATCAAGCAGTTGTTTTCAGATTATCTGATGAATTTAATGATACCCGCGAAACCAACACCATCTGGAAAAGATAATCCACCAGAAAGCTATACATTCCAGCATCATGTAGTCGCAGACCTAATCCTTAAAAGAGTGTACCAAGAGCAGAAACGCGACCTTTTTCAGATTGTCGACCGATTTCTTCAATTTCCTATATATCAGCAAGAAACTCTTCTACCCCTTTTAAATGAACTTTTCATCTACAACAAGGTCAGGCCAGGTCAAACGGAGAAGCTCAAGTTCTCTCTTCTATTCGAAGAATTGAAGAGTACAGATTCAGATCGAGCAGCAGACATCTTTTGTAAAGCTGCTGAGAAGATCAATCAGCCAGTGATGTATGCGAATGCAGCACGATTTTGTGCAAGAAAGGATCCCCCATCATTCCCAAAAGCGAAAGAACTAATTCAACGTGCTTTGAAGGTCCATGATTGTGCAGCATTTAAAGCTGGATACAAGAACTTGTGCCATACTAAAGGTGTCGTTCTTCATTTTGAACTCAAGCACAAGATCAATTCTGGCGAGGTCCACGATCTTGAAGAATTGGAAGAACTGGCCAGCAAAGTTCTTGAGGCGCATCGTGAAGCACGCAATTTTCCTCCAACTTACCCACACCCTCTTATTGGCGAAGTTGAGGTGTGGCTTGAGTGCATCACATGGATCATGAGGAACATGTGCGATAATGACACTCAAGAGACCTTGCGTTTTATGACAACTTTGTCTCCTCCTTTTTTTCGGACATGTTTAAGTGACTCTTTATATCTTCTAGACGTTGTTGATGGTATTGTCCAAAGCGTGTCCCAACTTGCTGATCCCGAGGAAACCAAAAGGCTGTCTAACAATTTGAGGTTATCCCTTATGAAAACGTTCCGCTCAAGATCTCATCTTCCTGGTAGACTGAAAGCCGACGAAGATATTGTTCAAGCTTGTAAAGCAATTTGCACCACGAAGAATTTCCGGGAATCGTCAATGTTGGAGCTTAAGCGACTTCAGGCCCACTTCCTTTTGACACACAACGAGGCAGTCGACAATTTCAAACAAGAAAATCTTGAATATCTGCTGAAACTCCTGGAAGAACTCGTTCTCAAAGAAAACGATTACAGCCTCGCTCATCATCTGATAAAAGTATGCATGCTAGTGACAGGAACAAGATGTTACACTCTTCAGCAGGGTCTCCATGTTTGTGACAAGTGGTTGTCGGTGGCGGGCCACGACTGCCTCCCGCCCTTTTACCAGATGGTTATCTGTTTCCTACAAATTTTGGATGGAAACACTCTAGATTTTATGCCGAAGTATATCCAAGCCTTGCAAAAGTGCCGAGAGAAATCTCAGAACCATCTGAAGAAATTTTATGCTACATTATATGTGGGCAAGGAGGGAAATGGTATGTCTCGCTTCATCAGCCGCAATGCATTGCTTCGTGGAGAGACGAACTACTCTCCCGACAATTTTCAAAAAGTTTCTAAATTTTGGCAGGTGGAGAGTAGAACGAAACTGAAAGAGTGTAAAGGAAGAATCAGAGAGAAGGAATCAAGTCGTGGAAAGTCGCATTTTTGCATCGAGCTGGTGCAAGGTAATCTTGAACTCTATGTTGGCAAGAACGCTGACATCGGCAAAGTGCAGATGGATTTTACACCAGGAGCTTTGGTGTATTTTGTGGTCAGTTTTAATCTTCAGGGTCCTGTTGCCAATGGCATAACATTTTCGCCACAGGATTCACTAAACGAGTATTGAGAAAGACTGTTTGGCACTTCAATAGTGTCTCGTTCAAACGACCATTTGGAATATAATGAAAATTTTACAGTCGGATTCTATTGAAGGCTTTGGTTGCTCGCTCTGTATGAGGTAGAACAATGACATACAATGACATTTTCAATCACTTTTCAATGGAAAACAAGCTATAACTTCCTGTAAATTTTTTATTGACCCTTTTAATTGTTACGTATATCTTAGGTACTGTCTTCATCCATCTAATTTCTTTACAAATCGTGTCGTTGATCGACTTATGATCTGTTTTCGTTGTGCGAAAATAAGATTAGGCAAAATCTATATACGTCTTAACAAACCACCATGCGGTTCTCAAATTCTCTTTCCGGCTATGAAGCCTATTTGAGAGTCGTAGAATAATGGTCCTTAAAATTTAAATCGCGGTAACGTTAGAATGATCTAAGAGTTCGTTAAGGTTGATTCCTGGGCTGCTTTTGATAGCCTGAGGAGGCGCTATTGAAAAGTTTTGGCCTCGAATCTTGGAAAGATATCTTAAAACTGTTTATTGTTAGGTCAAATGATAAGTCAAAAGAAATCTATGGGCACCAAAACAGTTGACAAAAGATTTACATATTCATCTATGTCGTTATTTCGGGAACTACGTAGTTTATATGGTTATTCAGACATTTGTATGTCATAACCCAGTAATGTATAAGTTTGATGATCAAAAAAAAAAAACGAAGAATCAAGCCAATAATAAGGCAAACACTACAAGATATTTTGTAGATCACAATTATTAATGAAATACATTTCTAGCTAAATAATTTTTGAAATTGTGCTTCCAAAGCCAAAATATTTGTCACAATAAAATTAACTTTTTTTCAAGTGACCATTACTTAGTCTCATACACGATCGCTTCTTTAGCTACTGAAAAACTTAATTCGAAGGAGAAATATTTTAATGAAAAGAACAAAGTTGCCCGTTATTTCGAACAGAAGATGGACGTTCAAGGGCCCACAATAAAAAAAATCCTACTGACATATATGTCATTACCTCGCGAAAGCAAAACCAAAAACGCGAAATTACTTTCCAGCTGCGTCCGGAACGTCCAGAACCAGTGGAACCGAATCCACTGGAAGCAAAACGCTTTAAATTCGCTCCGGACACCCCGACCACCCCGATGTTCTACTCGTATCATGGGCGATGATGTTAGTTTACGTTCGTGTTCCTCATTCCAGTGTCGTATAATGGAATGGAATTTTAAAAAAGCCGCAAATTCCAGCATAGCGGTTTGCTGAGAACCTTCGGATGAGGCGTTCCTCGGATATCGCAGTACCCAAACCGTTAGAACTTTCAAATTATGGTTCAATTAATAACACTCAGGGTAAAGGCTGCTAATTGCTCCTTAGACATTATCATACCTTTGGACGATAAATGTCACCACAATTAAAGCTAGACATCAAGGGCAATTAAAACATAAATCTCCCCTAAGGTAATCTTCTTAAACCCTAAAACGACCTCTCTAACAGTGTTAAGGTCTTTTCAGTTTTTATTTTGTTCCATTACTTTTCTTTGACAAAAACGGGTTTCGAAGGTTCCGGATGTTCTGCTGTCTGCTGATCCACAGTCCAGTCACACTCTTATGTCGCTAGGTGTCACGGAATTCGTAAAACTTCATGGAATTAAAGGGTGTGTCCAAATGGCTATTTTGGAGAAAAACTTCGAGCTAATTTGGTGTTACTCAGATCCGTTTGGCACACGCACAAAGATAACGGTAATAAAGATTTTTGGCGGAGTCCACCAGATAGTATTTTATTTTGACAATTTTATTCTCAAGAAATGAACAAAAAAAAAAAATGAAGGTTGAGATTCAATACCTTCTCATTCAGTTGAATTTTGGCGGACCGTCGCGGACTGCACCGTAAATTCTCCTCCTCGTATGTAGTTTTGGTTAGCCAAGTTTCAGATCAAAAGAATAAATCTTGCTGTTGCTGTGGAATGACACGATGTAGCTGTTCTAATTAATTGGCGAAAAGCGGCAATATCTTTGGCTGAATTTGTCAGAGAACCCATGTCTATTTTCCTTCCTTCATAGATTTGTTTAGATCTGTTATGTAAACCTGGAAGAAATCATTCATTGCTTTGATGTAATCTTTTCACCAATGCATGCGAATCTGAGACGTCATAACTTTGTCGGTATCGTTGTACTGGCAGAAGGGGCAACGAACCCCAAAGCTTTCAGGAAACGAGAGCCCGCACGTACGTCAGTGGTTTCACCCACAAACAACAAAATGGCTACCAACCCGTGCTGCACTTGTAAGATTGGACCTTCTATCTTGAATGCCGATCTTTCGTGCTTAGCAGATGAATGTAATAGGCTGTTAGAATGCGGTGCAGACTACCTACACCTGGACGTCATGGATGGGTATGTGTACCCAATATAGCTGGCATTAATGACAACTATATGATGTCAGTGGAAAGAATCCTGTAGTTAGTGATCGTGATCATGTTGATCAAGGCGAACTGTAATATTTCTGATGAGATGATCTAATCGTGGATTTATTTACGAGATAAGTTAATCTGGATATGCTACCATCATTTGGTGGCTGTCACGGGGCTAAGGGCCCGGGAGTATGTTTTGCGTTCGGTATACGGAAGGTTCTAAGAGAGGTCTTCCAATACTGGTAATTTTACGGGGGGAGGCTCGATTCGAGAAACACTTTGAAATTTTTAGGAAGCCCGAAGGTTTTTTTTAATTTTATGGGGTTATTTTCTCACAAGTTTCGGTTTAAATAAAAGTGTAAATCAGTATGGCTAAAACTTTTAATTTATTCATGTAAACCAGTACAACATTCTGTGGTGTTCTTGTTCTCAAAAAAGTTCTTATTACTTTTTGGCTGTTAGCCATTTTGTACCCAATTTAACTTTTGGTGCTCCATTGGTGAAATGCTTGAGAAAGAAAGTTCCAAATGCCTTTTTTGGTAAGTAAAAAAACTTTCCAATACCATGACATTTTATTATTTAGAAAAAAAAAATTGAATGAATTAGTAACATTTCTTCAGAACTGCATGTTATGCCCTGGTATATAGCAAAAGGATAAACCTTAACCCAATAACCAACTTAATCAAAGCTATAACAAAATTCTTGAGCACTAATTGAGCACTAATAGGACAGTGTACCCATCATGCTTGTAATTGAACAGTGTAATAGGACAGTTAACTGGACAGTTAACACATCATGCCTGTGTAAGTAGACAGAATGCATCATGTGTGGCACTGTTGTCTCACATTTTGCTGAGTTAACTGCTTTTTTTTTTATTAAAACATATAATGGATGTCTAGTTTCTTTCTCAAATTTTGTCATAGTTTTGATTAGTTGGTAAAAGGACTTTGTGTCATCCAACTCTGTCTGTAATCATATGGTGATTAGCAAATCAGACTGCCACTTTGCAGTTGTCTAATTTTGTTAATCACTTGAGTTATTACAGACTGAATTGGACTCCACTTAGTCCTATTACCCTTATAGAAACATGGTCTCCTTTCTGATTTGTGTCCTCATAGCCACCACATGGTTCTTCCCACTCTATTTACAGCTGTTCCATGGGACAAAATAAACGCATAAAACAGAGTGATAATTTTGTGATTACAATATAACTACTTATGAACAGTTTTGATCTTGCAAGCTACCGACAGAGGTGGTCTTTCAACAGTAACTGTAACATTGTATATGATTTGTATGATCAAGTTTTTGTTTCATTTCAAATTGCTCTATTTAAATTTAAATGTTGTAAAAAAAGTATTTTTTTACAAACAATGTTTATTCTTGATTATGTCAGATATGCATATGATGGTTGCCAATCCAGAGAAGGTAATGTGCTATCTGAGAACTTTTTAAGGAATTGTTGTGTCAAAGTACATTTTAAAATCTTTAATTTATTGATTTAAAATTGTTTGGTAGATTAAAATAAAAGAAGTTGCAAGAAATTTTTTTCTACCATTTAAGACCTTACTATTCTGTGTTTAGTGGGTAGATGACATGGCAGATGCTGGTGCCAATCAATACACTTTTCATTTGGAAGCAACAGGTACAAAAATGAAGATACATTATTTGTGATTTTTTGTGATAAAATCAAGTAATTAAACAGTTATTTGTCAAGGGAAAGGTGAATGTAGTGCTGGATAATTTTTTACCTCTCCTCAACAAGATTGGAGCTGCTGACATTGGCTAGTCTTTTATTAACTTTATTTGAAGATTCTCCCAGGCTTCCTGTACAGGGGAAGGTGCCCCTTGTGACTAGAATCATAAATTGAAAAAAGAGTCCAATAGGTAACCAATTATAAATCCATATTGATAAATGAATCTTGATTGAGGTGAAGCTAAGTATTGAGTTCATCATTGTTTATTGCTTGTGTTGTCAGAAAAACCAGTTGACTTGATAAATCAAATAAAGAAGGCTGGAATGAAGGTAATACAATTCAACTTTTTGGAAATCATACAATGTACAAATCAGTGTGCATTGTTTATCAATATTAATTAAGTTAATATTTAAGCATCAGTAATATTTTATTTTAATAATTTTCAGATTATTTGTTAACACAATTTCTTATTCTTGTGGAGACTTATTGCCTTACATGAGGTGGGACAGGATTTGAAGGCTTCATAGTGTTAGCTTCAGGTCCTTTTTGATTTGAGAAATTTGTGATGAAATCTATTTTGAGGAAGATTTGATGTGGGTGTTTTTATGGGAGCTTTCCCATGGACAAAAAGCATATAGTCCAGATGATCATACAAACTGCTTTATTTTGAGTCAGCACAATGCAAGGAAAGGCATTACTTTTGTTAGGTATTAAATTACCAAGTTTGAAAGAATTACTTCAAGCTGCTTGAGGTTTCTAGCTCTCTCCTGATTGTTTTTGGAGAGTTTGTGGAAAGCTGACCGAAACTCTGACCTGTGATGGTTCTTTTGAGGATTTTTGTTTTCAAAATAACCATCACCTAAGTACACGTTACTCTCACTCTTACACTTTGAATTAATTTTCTCTTACACCTACCGTTAGGGTCTTTTTAATGTTAGTAGTTCTTTGTCTAATGGAACCAAAATAAGCTATATAATGTAGTTATAAATATGTGACTGCTGAACATTTTCTGTGTTTTTTGTTTTGTTTTGTTTTTTTTGCAAAGGTTGGTATTGGAATCAAGCCTAACACACCAGTTGAAGCTGTCTTGCCATTTGTGGAGCTGGTGGATATGGTTCTTGTGATGACAGTGGAGCCTGGATTTGGTGGACAAAAGTTCATGGCAGACATGATGCCAAAGGTAAATTAAGATTGAAATGCATTTTATAATTTAATTTGACGCGGGAAATGATGTATGTTATGGTGTACTTTAAACTCTTTAACTCCCAGAAGTGATCAACATGAAACTTCTCCCTACAATATCCATACATTCTTCAGCAAACAGGTAATGAGAATATTCCAACTTATCTGGTAGAAGCTGTTATCTTGATCTAGCACCAAATTTAACACCAAAGGGTTAAAGAATGTAGGCCAATAGAAGAAACTAGGAAATGAGTGGATCACTGATGGGAATGAGTTTGTGACCTCTCAGACTAATACAGAAAATGTGGAAAACTCTTGTGTACTCCCACAAGGCTTTTTTTTCTGGCTTAGGGTTAGGGTTAGGTTAGGTTACTTGTAAATTTTAGATTATTGTTAATCAACGAAAATCTTGAGGGTAACATGGTCAGAAATGTGGTCAAGGAGAATTGGTAAGCATTGAAATTGGTGTGCTCTAATGAATAATAATTATTGTGTCATGAAGTGCTTTTAAAAGGTAATGTTAAATTTGTACCTTTAGTTATTAGTTCTTATCCTCTATAGCCAATGCACCAGCAATAAATTGAAGAGAAGTTTAATTTCCTGATGATTTGACCAGACTCTTCTATTTACATATCATAAGAATGTGGTGTAAGAACCTACTTGCGATTACATTTCAACTCAACCTCACACCTTTTTTATTTGTATGATCCACGCAAAAGTGAAACTTATGTGGATAACTGCCTGGACTGGGGCTAGCAGGGGATTGGTTTTTACATCCTGCTCTTTTTTAAGAATTATTTCCAAGGGACTACAAAAGTGCTACTGAAAAGTTACTCAGGTTGTTAGTTGTCAATTTAATTTTTTTTTGGCAGGTCAAACACTTAAGAACCAATTACAGGGTTTTGGACATTGAAGTTGATGGAGGATTAGGAATTCCTACAATTGAAGCTGCAGCTCAGGTAGCTAATGATACTGTAACAGCTTTAATGTTCATACAATGCGATTACTGATGACCCCAAAAGTCAACTTACTGCCAAGTGAGATGAGGAAATGGTTTATA